AATTTCACACATGAAAGACTTTTCTAGACTTTAGAATCGTTCAACAATGGGACAGGTCTCCGTTTGAGGAGGTTTTTCCTTTTAAGTTTAAGCAAAGACCAAATCACTATAGATGAGTACATTACAAAATCAGTCTCATATCATTTGACTGTTGTTTTAACTCTCTTCTGACCTCACCAGGGAGCCAAGGGTACAGCTTGAATGTCAGGTTTGAAACTGTGAAACAGAAATGGCTTCACAGAGTACTGAGTTCATGCATTGTTGCTTCTATCTGAGAGGCAAGTTATCTCTAAAAGTGGTCAAATCAATCAGTCCTATCTTGCATGCCCTTTGCAATGTATTTTTACCAATAAAGAGATAAAATCGGTCTCTCTTTCCTTGAATACCAGTGGTCTCATGACTTTCTTTGACTGATACAAAGCAGTGAAAATGACATTGTGGTTTCTGGGTCGAGGCCCTGAGAAGCCCAGCAGCTTCTGTTTCTGCCCTTTTGGAAACCAACTGCTGTGTGAAGTCCGGGATATCTGGTTGGAAGGACCACATGGAAAGAAATAGGGCCTGGATGAGGAGAGGCCACACAAAGGAGAACCAAGTACTTTGGGCTGACAGCCAGTACCAACTGACAGACGGCTGGGACCTTCCAAGCTCGGCCACCCACCTGATCCTCCCACTCCCAGAGCCAAGATGAGCTGTTTCCATCAACACTCACTCACATCCCAGACTTGCAGAATTGTGAACAATAAAAATGAATATCGATTTAAGCTACCACATTCTGGGCCGGTTTACAGCATAATGATGGATAACTGAATCAGAAAGTGAAATCTGGACATGGATGCTACCATAACCCAAACCTAAAACATTTGTCATCTATTATGATATCAAGTGGCAGTAGAGGTCAGAAAGGCTCTAAGGAGGTTGTGAGGACAACCTGGGGTAGCAGTGCAAAAGTTGCTATTGGAAACTCAGAAAAGGGTAGCCTATGTCACATGGTAGTGAACTTTTTGCTGACACTGTCACTTGCAGAATCATACAAGTTAGAAAAGATAGCTAATGAACGTGTTGATCTGGAGGAGGATATTCCAAACACAGATTGAAAGCCACAGTCAATTTCTCTTGGATGCATTGGTAAATTAAAAGAAGAGAGAGATGAACTAAAGGAGGAACTGTTTCATTTTAGTCGGGATAAGGAAGAAATATAGAGGGTTCAGGGCAGTATCTCTGGCCAGTAAAACATTCTCAATAAGCCTCGGGGTCAAGAAAATCAAGTGTTCGACTTGAAGATCCCTTACTAAAACTTCTATAAGATTTGATGTAACACCACAGAGGCTTTTTCAGTAGACAGTTGGTCTTATAAGAATCTTAAGGGCATTTCTCACAGCAGCCTCGCATGTGGTCCAATGTAAAGTGAAGTCCATCTTAGAACTATGGATGGAATCTTTTTTGCCATGGTCTGGTCTTCAATAAGATTCACAGAGAACTTAGAACATTAAAAAAAAAAAAAAAACTATACTTGCTTAAACACCATCAGTTCTACTAAAAGGCAGGAACATTTTAAAGTGAAAAGAGATCTCTGGGCCTCTACCTTTTTAGGGTCAAGAGGCAGGGAGAGCTACTTCTAATGAAAAGTAAGGACAACTCAGAGGACAGAGTCAAGAGCCCAAAACATGAACTCAAGAGCATCTTTAAAATAATGGACCTGGCATCACTTCCAGGGAACAGAATTAGACTCTAATTAAAGGAATTTTTTTCTGTTCCTGGTAAATAAGTGCTGAGCTGCACTTCAGAATTATAGTGGATCAATGATCACTATGTGCTTCTCCTTCCTTTCTGTGGTTTGTATAATTTAGGTGTCAGAAGATTTAAATAAAATTGCCTGAGCCCTTTGCCGTGGGTGGTGGAAGACACGTGTCCTTTTTGGTATTTTTTGAGGGTCATGAAGTAGTCCTGTTCCTTTCTTCTCTGATCACCTTCTACTGATGAACGAATTCTGTGGAAGGGTTTTCTTACTATCCCCCATTATACCCTACAGCACATGAACTAGATGGCCTTTCCTCAAAAGCATTGTTCACACAAGGCCATGTATATGAAGCAGACCATCAGAAAGATGAGGTAACAGTAGGGACAGGGTCACCTCAAGTCTCCAATCCTAGGTCTCAACAAGTCTCTTATATCAGCCAGTTCAGGTTCCAGCCTCTAACCAAACTGTTCAGCCTGTTCTTCCCTTCTTTCTTCTCTCAGTCTCTGTCTATTCCTTTAGAGAATTCAGTTCTTGGACTCTGAATATCCAAAAGTCCTGCTAAACTGGGATCTTAAATCCTTCTCTTGTCTCCCAGCAGTTTGTATTAGGGGGAAAAAGGCTAAGAGAGATTTCTTTCTCAACTGAGGAGAGTTATGCTGCCTTACTCAGAAGTCAGAGGTACTTACAGATAATTTTGGCTCCATTTTCCCCTTTCCATTACTTTTGATAGCAATATATTAAAAATAGAAGTTTAGAAAAGAGTTTATACAATAAGAGTTTATACAAGAGGTTTGAGTAGAGACCACTGAGAAAGATAAGGTGCTGAGAATCTAAAGTTTTGCTCTACTTGAGATTTAATACTCTTTTTAACCTTTGTACATTATAAATACAAAGAAAATAATAAAATCTAAAGTTGAAATAAATATCTGCTATTAAAGACCAAAATAGGACAGAATGGAAGAGGAGGCTGAGCTTCTCCAAGGTCGCCACCCACAAGCATCTGACAATTGCTTCATTTTGACCATTGACTTCAGTAGCTCAAAAGCTGAATAAATACCAAAGAGGAGTGAAACTTTCTAAAAAAACATTGGCTTGCATGCTTCTTTTAATTACACAATTTTAATTATAATATTTAAAGCTAGTGACAGCTGTATAATTTAGGCACATTTATAATTTTGACATATTTATGTACACGTAAAATGCTTTGTGCTGTATATCCAAAGCAGTTAAAAAATTGCCAAAATGCTTCTTGATAATTTGAAAAGCTAAGCGCAAATTACAAATGGGAAGATTAATAAATTGAACTACATGCAAACATAAAACTTCTACTGATCAAAAGATACACACAAAAGGGAGAAATCAGTGTCAACTAGGAGAACACATTTGCAACACATATGACATTTAAGGAGCTAGTTAAGAATATGTGTCTATCACATAAGAAAAAGGCAACATAAGATAAAAATCATCATAAGAGAAAAATAGGCAATTCAGAAAAGAGAAAATAGTCAAGGCTCAATTCTACAATCAGGAAAATACAAGTTAAAACTATCATGAAATATCATTTCACAATCATCATGCTGGTGAAAAGTGCAGAGTTACCACCATAAGGTGTGGGCAGGCTGCAGAACAATGTGTGGTTGGGTTCATCCTAGTGGGAGTGTAGGGAGAACAATTTGGAACCTTCAATCAAAGTTTAAAATGTGTAGATCTCATGATTCAGCAGTTATACTCCTAGGTCTACAGGGAAGGATCTTTTTAACATGGCAAAATTTTTACTTTAAGTTAAAAAACAAAACAAAACAGTATAATCATCAGTATAATATTTCTGAAATTTGGCAAAAAAAAAAAAAAAGGTTTAACTCATCCATAATCTAACTGGGGTCTTCTGACTGGTTTATTTTCCTCTGTTTTTCACCTGCAATGAGCAAGCATCTCCTTTTGAAGCCTCTCAACCCAAAATTTCACTTTCTTCACACTAAAAATAGAAATCTCCATCCATTTCCATAAAAGAACTGACCTTTGGGCCTCTTGAGTCCTGCTCTTAGGAGAAAGTCTGGGCTTCCTAGTACCTGTCATTGCTGCTAGAGTCCAATCTGCACTCTTGGTTGCATGACCATCAATGAGTGGGGATCCCGATCTTGAGCTTCCTTTTCAGTTTTTTCACCAGTGAGAGCCTTGAGGCTTCTCTATAAGAGGATCTGTTTTTTTCCCATTGGGAATAGCATACTCATCGGTTGCAAACTGAAACACAGAAAATCCAGGTAAGGAGGTGAGAACATATAAGTAAGCCAAGTGTTTCAAAATAGGAAGTGATGCCAACTGTGACAAATTGGAATAGGCAGGTCCCACCTAAGAACTTCTAACTAGCTCCACCTATTGATATGAGAGAACAATTTCTGATTTTTTCCCAGAGGTGCCATATTTGTACGTGAAATTTCCCAATTTAAAAAATTCTGTACAACTAAAGAGGTCTGTGACCTAATAAAGCCCTCAGGTCACAAACTTGCAAACTTTGGTCTAAAGCCATATTGGATGAAGGTATGTTTTCTCTATTAGCAAAGCTTCATTCCTGCTCTCAAAAAACATCAGGCCTTTACAGTCATGCTGCCTTTGCCCAGTTCTTTCTCCCTGCCTAGGAATCTGTAGACACAGCAAGATCCCTTGGAGGACTGCTAAGTATCCAAATAACTGAATAAAACTTGTTTATTTCAATTTTACTATTATTTCATCATTGGATAATGACTTTTGTGTTATTAACATTCAGTCAATCTCAATTAACATGTAGAATATGATATTTTCCAAACCGACAATTTTACTAGTTTTTTAAGTAGTATTACTGTGTTATAATATAGTCCTAATTCTTTGAGTGGTCCAACAGATCAGAGCTACTGATTAAAGTTAAGAAGCAGTGTTAAAATAAAAAAGAAAATATGTAACAAAAATATAAGGTTAAATAGAGAAAGGACTCCAATGCAAATTTATAATGTGAATTTATATGTGCTCAGACTAGATATATGCCAGTGTAATTAATAAGCATGTGTCCAAATATAAATAAATAAATGGTTAACTAGGAAGTACAAAGATTAATTTCTGAAAATTGAGGCTTTTTTTCCTTTTGAACTGATAATATATTCCTCCAATAATCCCTGGTTACAAAAATTTGACAAATATTGGCATAATCTGTCAATTTTTTTTATATAATTTTCAAGCAGAACACAGTGAGCTCCTGTCTGATAAAGCAATGAAAGTTCTTTTCTTTTTTTCACATAAGGAAGCATTTATTTGAGGTTTAACATGAAATCATACAAATAAAATTTGTATAAACACAAATCCACATTGAGTCATAACACAGATAGCAAAGGACAAAGTAAAAACAAAGAAAACTAATTGGCGGCTATATACAGTTGGACACAGTAGTTGTGTCTTGAACTCTAGAAAGTCTTTTACAAAATAATCATCTTAGATCAACAGAAGATCAATCTTCAATGTCGTCCTGCAAGATGGGTTTCTTTAGCATCTCCTGTTTTCTCCAATGTCCTCCTCTAGTATGGCTGGTAATTATTTTGGTGATTGCCACCCCCTCGAGAAGCCTTGCCATAAGTGCTCTGTTGACCTCGGCCACGACCCCTGGTACCACCTCGCCCACCAGCTGCAGCACCTCTTCCTCCTTTTTGTTGTTACTGTTGCTGCCTATATACCTCTTTGGGCAGTGCAACTTTGATTTCACACTTCCCAAAACCAATTTGATGATATCTGCTTTCTAACAATTTCTTTACTGGCTCTTCATCTGTATATGTGATAAAACAAAATCCTCTTCTTTCATTTGTTTTTGTATCCATGGGAAGTTCAATATTTTCAATCTCTCCAAAGGCTCCAAAATATTCTTCAATTTGTTCTTCAGAAGTATCTGGGCTCAATCCACCCACAAAAACCTTTTTAGGGGGTTCTTTCCCTTTCAAAGCTTTGGCCCTTTTGGGGTCTATCAATTTGCCATCCAGTTTGTGTTCTTTCAGTTCCAAAACCTTATCAACACTAGCAGCATCTTTAAAAAGCACAAATACAAATCCTCTTGATCTTCCAGTGACGGGATCTGTTTTAATCGTACAGTCTACAACCGTCATCCTGCTGATTCTTGCTCGCGTTGATCATGGATCCCTCTGCGAATTCTTCTATGTTGCTGTACTCGTTCATGTCCTCCATAGTGGCGGAGCTGTCGGCAGTGGGGTGCTGGCGCGCAGTCCTGGTCACGGCAGCAGCGGCGGCGGAGCGTTGTATGGAGCTGGATTTAAAATGCCGGCGGAAGAGCAGCAATGAAAGTTTTACAAAACCCAAAAATGCCTTCCAGCACAAACCCGATGAATTCTGTCTCTAAAGGAGAAGAAGCAGAACTAAAAATCATCACAATGGTCTTCTTAAACAGGTTCACTGATTTTCCAAGAAAAAAGCCCAGTATTGGGCTAGGGATGCAGCTCAGAAGTATAAATATTTGCCTAGCACATGCAAGGCCCAGAGTTCTATCACCCAACAATGCAAGAAAAAATAAACAAACGAAACCCCTCAATGTTAATGACAATTATTATGTTCAGAGAGAAAACAAAACTAACACAGGAAAATCCATTATCAAATGACTCTGTCACTGGACATAACATTTCTCTTGGGAGAGGAACATCATGTAATATCAATACTATAGACCACAGAGGAGCAGCTGTGTGTGCATTCCAGCATATATTGCACAATACAATTGAACCAAAGTACTAATGTAAAAGGTCTGAGCTTTCTCCTGGGTGGGTAGGGGTCAGCGTTTGAGGTTTGAACCTTTTCTTCTCTGGTAGGACATTCTCTATGTAATTGATACTTGTGAATCATGACATTAACTGAAAAAATGAAATACCTTGGAGGTAAGTAATTAAGGGCTACCTGGTACAGGTGCAGGGGGGCCGCTGCTAGGATACACAGAACACAAATTTATATCCTTGCTGCATGCTCATTTCTGTCTAGCTGTAACATATAGTGAAAAAGTGGACACAGTGTGGCTATGTGCTGTGCATGAGTTAAAGAAATAAGCAAGAAGTGTATCACCCTTGCTCTTCCACAGTGAAGTATAAAGACTATCTAGTGGAAGGATGTTCTCAGGAGAAATGTAAATGAATTTTATCATTACCATCATCATCATTGTCACTTAGGCCTCTCCATTGTGACATTTGAGTGCCTTCAAGATATGGCAGCTGGCTTCCTAAGAGTGATGCACGAAATGAAGCAAGAAGTAAAGCACAGCGCCTCTTTTGATATAGTCTGCAAAGTTGTACATCATCACTTTTGCTTCATTCTATTCATTTTCTTTATTCTATTAGAAGTGTTGAAGTATTAACCAAAATAATAAAATAACTCGATACAGAAGTCAAAGGAAATAGCATTTATTTGGGAAACAAGGAATTACAAATCCAGTACTCTGAATCTGGGAAGCCTTGAATTGTGTTCTGCATGGTAAATGCAAGGAGAGATTTTTGTGTGTGTGTCTGTGTGCTCGCACACATGCACATTATAATCATACAAAATAATGGGATTCACTGTGATATACTTGTACATGTACATAATATAATATATACACACACACAATGGAGTTTTATTCAGTCATAAAGAGGAATATATATGAAAGAGTAATATGAAATCTCAGCATAGTTTTGATTCGTATTTACCTGATGTTAAACATTTTTTTCATATATTTGTTTGCCATTTGTATTTCCTCTTTTGAGAAATGTCTGCTTAATTAATTTGCCTATTTATTGAGTGGGTTATTTTATGGGATTTTTACTGTTGGTGGTGGTTTTGTTTGTTTTGTTTTAAGTGTTTGAGATTTTAAATTAATCTTCTGTTAGAAGAGTAGTTGGCAAAGATTTTCTCCCATTTGGTAGTTCTTTCTTCACATTTTTAATCATTTCCTTTGCTGTGTAGAAGCTTTTTAATTTGATGCTGTCCCATTTATTAACTCTTAGTATTATTTCTGAGCTTTAGGGGTTCTGTTGAGAAAGTTGTTACCTGTATCTGCCTTGGAGTATACACTCTACATTTTCTTCAAGGAGTGGCTTCATTCCTAAATCTTTGATCCATTTTGAGTTTTATTTTGGTCCTAGGGATTGAACCCAGGGGCACTCTACCACTGTGCTACATCCCCAGATCTTTTAATTAATTTATTGATTTTGAGAGAGGGCCTTCCTATGTAGCTTAGAGTCTCACTAAGTGGCTGAGGTTGGCCTCAAACTTTTGATCCTTCTGCCTGGAGCCTCCGGAGTTTTGAGGATTACAAGCATATGCCATCATGCCTGGCTTGAGCTCACTTTTCGTCCAGGTGAGAGAGAGGAGTATAGTTTCATTCTTCTACAAATGGATATCCAGTTTTACCAGCACCATTTGTTCTTTTAAAAGGCTGTCTTTTCTCCAATGTATGTTTTTGTCACTTTTGTCTAGAATCAGAAGACTGTATCTGAGTGGGTTTTTCTTGATGTCTTCAATTCTGTTCCATTGGTCTGTGTGTATGTTTTTATGTCAGTACCATGCTGATTTTGTTACTACATTTCTATAGTATAATTTTTTTAAAAATGTTATGATGCCTCCAGCATTGCTCTTTTTTGCTCAGAATTATTTTGGCTATTGTTTCATATGAATTTGAGAACTGTTTTTTCTAGTTCTGTAAAGAATGTCACTGATATTTTGCTGAGGATTGCATTGAATCTGTGAATAGCTTTTGGCAATATAGTCATTTTAACTGTATTAGTTCTGTTTTTTTGTTTGTTTGTTTGTTTGTTTGTTCTGTTCTTTTTTTTTAACAAGGGATTTCTACAGTAGATTTTTTTTTTTTTTTTTTTGTGAGACAGTTCATTGCCTGGCAGAACTCCTAAACTGCAAATCCTTTTTGATTGGTTCGTTAATTAGGGCACACCCAGCTGAGAGATGTTGAAGGCTGGCAGGATACTGACTTCAGTTGTTTATCCAAGACTACTGGGACATTCTGTGGTTTAACCCTTGGCAGGTGTGAATACAATCCTCTTGAAATCTCCCAGCTTCATTTTAGAAGATCTTGGTCTTAAGGACTTCATTTTCTTTCACAGAGGCAAGTCACTAAATCCAACCAAGACTCGAGGGGAAGGAAATTCGTTTTCTCTTCTCAGAGGAAGAAGTACACTGCACCCAGGACACACACCCTCACTGAAACAAGAGTGTCAAGAAATAACACTGATCTGTAAAATGTGTGACGCATCCTAATATTTCCAATTATATTTTATTTCATCTTTTTATAATGCTGGCTAGGACCACTATATTAATTTCATAACCCATTAATGTGTTAAAATGAGGAAGTCACTGTTTCATATTCTATACATTTCTGTACTTTGATTTATCAACTTTGAACTATGTCTATTAAAGATAAATATATTGGAGTACTTAGTACTTATCTCCCACCTGCCCTCTTGAATGCTACCAATCAATTTTATTGTTATTTAATGTCCTTAAGTTGTCACTGTGTGTGATCTATTTATTCTGCTTTGTTGCCCTAATTAAATCTATCAATTTGTTGTAAAAAATTAAACTTAATAAAATAGTATGTACAGTATGATTATTCTGTTAATTAGTTTTCAGTTACTGTGACAAAATATGTGAGGTAAGAAATTTATAAGAAGGGAAAGTTTATTTTGGTTCATGGTTTTGGGAGTTCCAGTCCATGGTCTCTTGGCCCCATTGGCTTTGGGCCTTTGGCAAGACAGCATATCAGTGGAGCATAGATGGTAGAGGAGGCCTGTTCACTGATGGCATCCAGGAGCAGAGAAAAAGAAACAGGAAGGGATCAGGTCCAAAAATCCCTTTCAAGGACAGGCCCCCAATGCCCTAACTTTCTCCCAGTAGGCCCCACCTCCTAAAGGTTCTGCCACCCTCTCAGCACCACAGGCTAGGGAACAAGCCTTCAACACATGGGGCTTTGGGGGACATTTACCCAAACTATACTAATTGTTCATTATTGTAGAAATAAATGGTGTAATTATACCTACAGAAAAAGAGATGGAATTCTAAATCTCCAACGTTCTACCAACCAAAGGAAAGTGCACCAAATATCAAAGCTCAATGGATTCTCCTTTGATTTCTTTTTAGTTTTCTGGTCTTCATCCAAGGCATATTCAGTTGCCACTCTTTCTGTCTTCATCTGGTCCTCTTTTTTCCTTTATTTTTAATTTTTTTATTTTGGTACTGAGTTGAACGCAGTAGCACTTTACCTCTCAGCTACAACCCCAGCCCTTTTTATTTTTTTCTTTAGAGACAGTGCCTCACAAAGTTGCTTAGGACCTCACTAATTTGCTGAGGATGACCTCAAACTTGTGATCCTCCTGCTTCAGCCTCCCAAGCTGCTGGAATTAGAGGCATATGTGTTCCTCTTTCTTAAATTCTCTTTTCCCCTGGTTAGCAGGTCATTTTGAGTCATATCTTATGTGGACTTGGTGATGTTCAACTTTCCAAGTCTCTGCTTATCTGAAATGACTTTGTTTACCCCATACTTGGTTTGCTGTCTTTCCTGAGAATTCTGAGATATTGCTTCATTGTTTTCTACTAACCATTCTGTTAATATGAAACCTAATGTCTTCTGATTCTTATTCTCTTAAAGGTAATCTGTTTTGCTATTTAGTAACTTTTAGCCCTTATTTGGTAGACTTTTAATGACCTGGATCTAACCACCTGTCTTTTAATGTCTCTCATGTTTTCTTTGTCCTGCATCTCAACAAACTTCTTTTCCAGATTCATCTTAGCCCTGACCATTTCTTCTATCCACTGAACTTTTTATTTGACAATCATATTTTAGTTGGTAGGAAAGTTTTCTTGCTCTCTGTTTGGTTCTTTTTCATAGCAACCAATCTTATTTTTGTGGATGCAGTATCCTAATTTTTCTAAGATTACTAATTAGAATTTCAAAATAAGCATCTCTCCCCTGGGCTTTTTCTTTTCTTTTTTTCCTCCTAAGATCAGCTGTTTGGTTTATTCCCCTGGTCTTTTTTAAAAATAATTTGTAAAATTGTGGTAAAATATACTTGAATTTGCCATTTTAGTCTTTTTTCCTTCCTTCTCCTTCTCCTTCTCCTTCTTCCAGGGATTAAACTCAAGGGCACTTGACCACTGATCTACATCCCCAGCCTATTTTGTATTTTATTTAGAGACAGGGTCTCACTGAGTTGTTTAGGGCCTCACGTTCACTGAGGCTGGCTTTGAACTTGTGATCCTCCTGCCTTTGCTTCCCGAGCTGCTGGGATTACAGGCATGCACCATCGTGTCTGTGTCCGGCTTAATCGTCTTTTAAGTGTACAGTCCAGTGATGTTAAGCATATTCACAATGTTTTGCAACCATCACCACTGCCCACCTCCAGAATCTTCCCAAACTGAAACTCTGTTCCCATGAAACATTATTTCCCATCCCCCTCTCGCCTACTTTCTCAGGAGTTGCCACTGTTATACTACCTCTATGAGCATGAGTATCCTAGATCTCTTGCTCAAATGGAATCACAGGTCAGTCCCTTTGTGTTTCACTGAGTTCACGTAACGGTTACTTCATCACCTTGGTCTTTTTCATGCAGCTGGTTTTCATCCAGGGCCCAGTGATTCTTGAGCCAGGTCATCTGTATGAATGGTCAGGAGTTGCAGTTTCTCCACAGGCATTCCTGTCCATGGGGGTCCTGAGTATAGCCTCTGTCCCAGTGGGCAGGGTTGTTCTTACGCAGCAGGTTTGCTTATAATAGGTGTGGTGAAGGCAGGCAGGCGAGGCAGCGGGGCAAAATTAGCAGGATTCTGTTCTGGGGATGGAGTGCTTTAGCGGCCTCACTGTCTTTTGTTCCTCTTGGTGTCTGATGTGAGTGTTTTGGGAGTTATCCTGAACCCTGCTTGGCTTATTGTTCAGACTCTCGCCCCCAAACCCAAATTGCTTCTCCAGGCAGACTGTCTTTCTCCAGGGGGCTCCGATGTGATTCTTACACCAGCTTTGAGTGCTCTGTATAAACGGGGAGGCAGGAAGGATGCAAGTCCGCTGACCATGCTAGATCAGATCTTGACGCAAATGGCAGAATTTCTTCCTTTTTAAAAGGCTGAAAAGGATTCCATTGTGTATAGAGACCACATTTTCTTTGTCTGTTCATCTGTTGAGACAAGTTGATTCTACAACCTGGCTATTGTGAACAGTGCTGCAAGGGACATGGGTAGGCAGAAATATTTTCAACATGCTGATTTTGAATCTTTGGGGTAAACACCCAGAGGTGAAATTACTAGATCAAAGAGTGGTTCTCTATTTTTAGGTTTTTGAGGACACTTCATATAGTTTTCCATCATAACTGTACTAATTTATATTCCCAATAAGATATGAGAGCTCCACTTTCTCTATATTCTCACTGGCATTTGTTATTTTTTAATCTTTGTGGAAGTAATGTGAAAGTTGTTGGAATTGAATGAAATTGCCTAGCTCAACCCTAACCCCCCAAAAAGTAAATAAAGCTGGAAGGTTATGAAGGAAGCATTCCTATGATTACCTGAGGGTGACTGTCACAAAAGACTCTTCAGAACCACAAGCTTGCACAGAGACCCCAAACATTATATAAAAGTACTTCTACAAGGAAATTTGCCCAGAAACTCTGTGCTCAACCTCAGACTAATGCCATTCTTGTTATTAACCACTGTGGTCAAAAGTTATAATTTCAAAATATCTGATGTAGTCTTCCTCATAATTTAAATATGACTTCCCTCTTACTGAACCTCTTTGAATATACCCCTAATTTACTATGGCATGTGTATTCCTATTGCAATGCTCCTCTAGTCCCAAACAAATATAATTGTTTATTTATAGAATAAATAAATAAATAGAATATCTGATTTTTTAAATTTAAGTATATGTCTTTTTTTATAGTAGCTATTCTAGCCATTGTGATTTTAATTTTCACCTCTCTGGTGATTAGAGGAGTTGAGCATTTTTTCATTTATATGTCATCTTTTGGGAAATGCCTATTCAAGTCCCTTGTTCTTTCTTAAACACATTATTTGTTTTCTTTTTTTAATTTTTTTTTCTTTTTTAGTTGTTGACCTTTATTTACTTTATTTATTTATATGTGATGCTGAGAATTGAATCCAGTGCCTCACACATGCCAGGCAAGTGCACTACCGCTGAGCCCCAACCCCAGCCCTTGCCTTCTTTGAGTTCCTTGTATATTTAGATATTAGCCCTTGTCAGATGTATGGTTTGCAAATACTTTTATCTAGTCTCTAGGTTGTCTCTTCACACTTTAAATTGTTTCCTTTTTGTGCAAAAGCTTTCTAATTTGATGTAATTCCATTTCTCTTTTTTTTTGTTTTTGTTGCCTGTGCTTTCGGAGTTAAATCTAAAAACTCTTTGCCCAGACCAATGTTGTATGAATTTTCCTCCATGCTTTCTTTTAGTTGTTTTACAGTAGAATTGGGGAACACTAATATTAAGTAAAAATCAGCCCCATGCAGAAAAATAAATATCACATATTCTCATTTATATGTGGACTCTAAATTGAACTCATAGAAGCAGAGGGTAGAAGCTAGGAGGTGGGAGGAATAGTTAGATATGAGGAATGAGTTGGCTTTGGGGTACTCGTTTGTTGAGATTGTTGCACAGCATGGTGAATATAGCTAATTGTTGAGTACTGTACATTTCAATGTCATGAGAGGGTGGAACTCAACTGCTCTCATCATGAAATCTGCCAAACCTTTGAGGTGATGGACGAGTTGGTTGGCTTGATTTGGCCATTCCACATTGTACTAAGAAAATAGTGACATCACTTTGTTCCCTGTAAATATATACAGCTATCATTTGTTGATATACAATTTTAAAACACAACTCTTTCTTCTTCTAGCACCTTAGGGACTGTAGCACCTGCTTTTGTGGTTGATAGACTTGGGGCGTGGTACTTTCCTTGGGGCTTTGACTATCCTAAATGGGGTTTTGTACACAGAAAGGAATCCTTCTATTTATTTATTTTACCCCATATTATATTATTATAGTTACAAATGTAAAAAGCTTGCTTCCCTTCAACATTTAAGCTTAACTAATAGCACTTATTTTACTTTTAATTTTATTATTTTAATCAAAATCAGAATAATCCTTTTCACATATTCTTTTTCAGTGAACTCATGCATGTAATGTTAAACGTCATTTATATAGTTAGCAAATCAAATTTCTATTTTAATGCAATTGCCCCTCTTAAACATTTCAAATACATCAAGGGAGGATTACAAATATAAGAAACAAATCTTCCTAAGCATTTAAACCACTCTTATCAATCCACTAAATCAATCTTCTAAAATAAATTGTAGATAAAATCCTTCTAAGCCTTTTAAAAATCATTTAAAAAATTAAGAGTATGCACATGATAACCGTTATATTTAAACACAAGTTACATAAGCGTACACTGAGTTTTTATACTTTTCAGAGATTATAAATTATTCATCCAACTAAGGGGAACAAAACAAGCACATCACACTGACTGACATTACAAGGTCAAAAACACGGGACACTGATACACTCTCTAAATGAAATAACTTGGAGATCCCCAGGGCACAAGGACCCAGCAGTTCTGGGCGGGGCACCATCTTATGAGCACACTTTGTCTATCATGGCATCAGCAATTGCCAAGTTTATGACTTACAATTATATCAGTTTGGATAATTTCAATTAACTGAAAATCCAGTGATCCCCCCCACCCTGAAAAATGACCTACCCTTAAATTAGTGAATACTTTCCAGGTCTTAGTTTTAAATTTAATCTTCTATAGTTCTTGTGTAAATTCCTTCACTAAAGCTTAAAATATCCTAATAGAATTTTGAGTCACTGGGATTTACCTGCATCCTCTTTTTCACCTTATCCAGAGTGGTCAACTATCCTCATTTTATTTCAATGTTATGACACGTAAGAGACTTGTTGTATTTCTTCACTGTTGTTCATTAAGACTGTCTGATTTGTACCCATCAAAATCCTATATGAACAATCTATGCCAGAGTCTTCTCAGAATTACAGATTTAATTCTGTGTGGCTAAAAGAGAATTATGAAATATCCAAGCTTAGTTTCTGCCATTAATTTTCTTGCTAAGCTTTCTGGGATTATTGGTCTATGGAAGCTGACTTCAGATTACTTATCTCATTTTCCTGTTATTTATTTTAGCCTTTCAGTATATCTTTAAAAAGTCTACAGTTTTAAAAATTCCCATTTATATCTTTGGCAGCTAGCACAATGTCTGGCAAATGGTATATGTTCCACAATTATTGATTGAATGGGAAGGATGACGACGTAGAAAGTTTATTATCTTCAATCACTTGTACTTCAGTCATCCAAATACTTTCTGGGAGGAATTTAACATATGTGAAAATGTGGGCTAAGAATAAATGTGTCTTAACTTCCTCTCAATGTCTTTTTGAAATTTTATACTTCATATTATCCACAGCATCAATCTGACAGATGTAAACTCTGAACTTCCAATTGCTGGTGATTAATAAAACAGGATTTTACTGGAATCCTTCAATACACATTTTATTGTGCAGGGAGCAAATGTTATAACTGGTTTTTTTTTATTTACCAAGTGATTTGTGCCACTAACCCATGCCTGACCCTGTCCTTTCCCACCTCTTGATTAGTCTGATGATGCTAGACATAGCTCTGGGTCAAATGCAGAAAACACCAGATGGTGTCATACCACTTAGAGAAAACAAACAAAGCTCATTTGGTGTGGGGAGGGGGTAGAGGAGTATGGAGCAGATCATATTGCACTAAAATCTCTGGATATGAAGGCTAGAGTCAGGATAAATTTGGACAATATACCTATGGACTTGAAAGAGAAAAAAATCTGAAAGAAATAATGCTTAGAAAAGGATAATACTAATGAATAGTTAGAAATCTTTTTGTTAAAGATTGTAGTCTGGTTACTTGATATATTCTCTATCATCTTTAGAAATATAACTCATATTTGTTCAGGCAGAAAGAGTACTAATCTAAAAGTCATATTTCTCAACCTCCCCTGCAGTTAAGGGTTTAGTCAATTAAATTTAAATGAAATCTTTGATTTTTTTCCCCTGCAACTCTTTTTAAAGGGGGACGGCCTTGTTTGAGAGTCTATCTGCATCTTGTTCTTCCCTTTCTATTCTCCTAAATTGCAGACATACTGGCTGGAGCTCTGACAGCCATTTTGTGACTTGAAGATAGAAGCAACTGCTAAAGAATGAATACCAAACAGAGAGAAAGAAGTGCCTGAGAGTCCTTCATGACTTTACGGAGTCACCTTACAAACCAGAATACACACACACGCACACACCCACACACACACATATTTTATATATTTTCTGGTGAGTATATGTGGAGGGAGCTTTAATTTTTTTAAGCCACTATAGTAGGTTCTCAATTACTAGTCCAACATAATTCCTAACTGACACATCCTAAAATTGTGAATGTACATTGCATAATAAATCAAAGATAAGTTAACTCATAGGACAAACATTTATTAAGCACCCACTATGTGCAAGGAACTGGGAAAGACATTGTGGAAATCACACAATGATCCTATTTTTCAAGAGGTCGCTGTTTGCAGAAAGAGGTAACACATGTGCATCTGAAGAGTAATATAATAAAGTGGGAACAGTGGCACATGCCTGTAATCCCAGCTACTCAGGAGGTTGAGGCAGGAGGATCACAAGTTTGAGTAGCTACACTTATATCAGATAAATAGATTTTAAAACAAAATCTGTAAAAAGAATAAAATAAGGTCACTACTTAACAATAAAAGGATCAATTCAACCAAAGGAAATAGTGATTGTAAGTATATATGTGCCCTATGCTGGAACACTCAAATGTATAAGCAAATATTAGATCTGCAAGGAGAGATGGACTCTAATGCTGTAATATTTGAGGACTTCCAATGCCCTGATTTCATCAATGGGAAGATCATTCAGACAAAATGGGGCTGTGACCAATAGTTTTGTTGGATGGGACTTGGAAGGAACACAGTGGGACAACTGGTGACAAGGAAGTCTAGGA